CAGGTATATTACGGTCGTAGCACAAATGGGTCGGCTCGGGTGGCACCACGCTCTCACAGAATACCAGCTTAAAATATCAGCTTAATGCTACTGTGTTTCATATAGCGAGTGTAGAGAACCGGAGACCCTTTTAACTGGAAACGAGGCACTCCATTTTAGTTCTTATGGGTGACAACGCATCTGCATTATGATTCATAATCTAGGATATATGTAGATGTCTATGGGGCCAGCATCCACTTACTATCAGGTAGACTGTGTGCTTGTATGCTACCCTTATTCTATATAAAAAAATCTATATTAATTACGGGAATACTTAATGAAAATTATTTATCTTTTTGTCAATGGGTTAGAAAATACCTTTATTTTAAATATAAATTTACAATTGGATATGTCACACCTACAGCCCTGTACCACCACACTAGAAAAGGCACCGTTGATAATAAGACACGTATTTTAACCTATAAACGATTCAGCATCAGTAGAAATAGAGTCGTTACGAACGTTTGTATGTAAAGACTATTTATAAAAGGTTTAATTTTTTTATCAAACAAAAGAAAGGCTCATTAAAATATTAAAGATTACATGAATGATAACAATCCGTGGGAATGATGTGATCACTACAATGCTGTTTCTAAATGTTTTTATTTGTACATTTAATTTGACAACCTATGTACATTGTGAATAATTTTAAGAAAGTATCGCTGGGAAGATTGTTAACCGAATCAGTGGTAACTTAGCGGAAAAGCGTTTGCTGTAAATTTCACAGTACGCGATCAACCCGGGTTCGATCCCCGCAGGCACCAATGAAATTGTTAGTTGTAATTTTGAGTTCTGATTTACCACGTGCTCGGCATTAAAGGAAAACATCGTGAGGAAACTTGCATGTGTGAGAAATAAGAAAAACAATATATTTCCTTTCCTACCTAGAAGTCCCTTTACTATGTTACTTCTAAACCTCTCCAAGCGATGTTCATTTATTGGAACAAACGCAACTTTCTCATTTCTGTTTTTGTGTATGTAAGACAATGAGACCAACTTTCCACAGTGATCTGAACTTAAATTTTGAATGATTGATTTATGCAAGTGCTTAACATCTGTAAACATGTTATCTATACCTATACAGGTCGTATTAAATTATATTTGGATATAATTTAATACGACCTCTTACCTCTATAATACATATTTTGTCCAAAATTTCTTAATTACATTATTTATGTCAATTAAACGAAATTTGTCATTATTATCATTACAATTATATGTCAACTTTAAATTATTTTTACATATTTAATTTTTTATTTGTAAATTTATGCATTAGATTATTTTCCTGTAGCAATATATGTATATAAGGCAGTGTGAACAAGACAATTTTGTGTACATTTAAGTTATTAAGTTGTTCAGTATATCCTCATAAATGTTTATTAGCATTGTAAGCAACACTGCCTCTTCTACCAACAAAAATTATTATTGTACTTTTTGGACAAAATTTAGTAAATACAATTTTATTTAGGATGTCACTAAAAGATGCTCCACTCATGCAGCAATATATAATTTTGTGTTCCTTTAAAGCGGTATTTAAAATTTTGCCTAAATTTTTGCCCATGTCATTGCTATACACAATTATACCTTTGATAATATTTGAATTATTTTTATTTTAATCTCCTCTGCTACGGTATAAACGTATAGTTTTTGTGGTGATTTAATATTATCAGCACACACCGACTCTGAAGAAACTGGTATTGATAGCTAACACTCACATTGATGTTTTACTAAGGATTCAAAACGCTCCTCATTATATTTACATGTCTTTACCAGAGTATCCATAGCCAGTATGTGTTATTTTATTTCATTTTGGGCTGATTTATATTTATTGGTAAAGTAGTAAATTTTCTGATTTAAGGCATTCTACGTCAGTCTCATAACATTTTTTTTTATTTTATCCACATCAATTGAATACAATCTAAGTTCATATACCAATGCTTGCTTTTCTTTACATACATTAATATAATTTTTGGTATAAATCTTATTTTTTATTAGTTTTTGTATTTTATTCATGTATTTATTATCTTTTATATATTTCTTTTATTTGTTTCTTTTTTATTAATTCTTACTATTTTTCCTGAAGTGGAAGAGTCGTCACCTGTCAAATGTATTGTTGCAGATTGCTGTAATGTTTTAGAATTATTACATTTTCTAAAATATTACAGGCTTTTAGGTTATCTATGTATATTTTAAATTGTGCTATTTGCTCATTAGCCTCATTCAACTGTAACTTCATTGCAGCAATAACCTTCCTCATATTCCTTACTGCATTGGTCAAACTAACCGTTCCATATAGTTGATCTCTTTCTTTTATAACACTTGTGTAATCTGTATGTAACTTAACCATATCACATTTCAATTGTGTATTTTTGGCAATTATGCCAACTATTTCCTTTTAATTTCTATCCCTTTCATTAAGCAACAGTTCATACTGCTTCTTGGACTACTTAAGTTCTTGAAGTGCAAGGTGGAGTTGGGTCTCCTCTGGTACGTCTTGGCGTTGCGAGTATTCATTTTACTATTTGTCGTAAATGATAAATGAAAACAAAGATTGAATCAGGAGAAGCAGAGTAAACTAATGTAGAGTTGTATTTATTTTTTTACTTTTTACTTTTACTTAAACCCACAAAGAATATTATACTTAATCCGAGTAATAGAATAGGTCTTTAATTATAATAAAGGAATTATAAGGAATAAGAATTACAATAATTTTAAATAATGTTCGTTACCTGTCACTTTATGTTCCAAAACAAAATTGTTATAATATTTATTATGAATTTACAATATTTAAATTATTTAAATTTTTCGGGATCAATTAGTTTTACAACTAATCACCAGGGTTGACTCAGCAAAAGAAACGTTAGCACGCTTGGCAAGTGGCTTGGCAACAACACTTTTTCATCTTAAGTCGTTATTAGGAATACGCTCCTGCATATTTCCTGATTTGTTTCCCTCTGTCACCTCTTATGGGGCGGTGAATGTTCTTACACTGCAACTACACCGAAACCACTACACGGTAACTTCTATAAAATAAGAATAAAACAAATTATAAAGTCAGACTCCGACTAGAGAACGGTAAAATTTTACTGATTGGATTTTTAGTTAAAGCCTTTGCAGTGGGAAATGCAGCGGCGGGTTTTAATTGATGTAATGTTAGTACCGTCCTTATTCATAAACGATTAAAAAAAAATTATGGAATACAACTTCCAAGAAAAGTTATTTTTAATAATTATTAGCATCGTTGTTCACATTACCATTGCAACTGTGCTAAAACAATGTGTGTGTGTACTTATGTACGCACGTAGGAAGTTATACTTCTTTTAAATAACTAAATATAACTACCTTAAATATAGTTATCATTTCCCACGAAAACTTGAGAGAAAGTTACTCAATGAAGTTGTAGCTTTGAGGTGTCAATGTGCGCGCGCGTCGTAACAACTTCACGGTGTCGTTTTTAGCTGTCGGTGTGCGTGCGCATCGTAAAAAATACACTCTCATAATTTTTACCAAACGCCCCAAAAGAAGTATAACTTCGAAAATTATTTTGTTAGGAACAGCTTATAGAGTAATCCAATGACATGGCATGGCATGGATTCGAACATACTTTATAATCATTTAATTAATCTCGTTTTTGAAACCGTATTACCTGAACTCGAAAGTTCAATGAAAACATTATATTTTTTTATTTTTCGATAAAGAGTATATAATGAAGTGGCAATGGGCGGCCATATAGCTCGAAGACCCGACAACCCACGGTGAAGAACTGTTTTGGAGTGGCAATCTCGTACCGTTACGAGAAGTTTTGCCCCCCCCAAAATTTTATTTTATTTTAAATTTACTACCGTTTCAAAATGAAGTTCCTGTATCCGGGGAAGAAACGGCGACTAAAACTTCACAAGTATTCTGTTTTTGTCATTTTTAAATTCCAATGGTACAATATCTATACAAATAAATAAAATTGAAGTGTCTGTTTGTAATTTCAAAATTACAGCTTTTTATTAAATGCATATGAAAGTATATACGGTACTTATAACAAAAATACAATTTTTAAAATTTTTGTATGTCTGTCTGTTTGTTCCAGCTAATCTCCGGAACGGCTGGACGGATTTTGACGGGACTCTCACTGGAAGATAGCTGATGTCATGAGGAGTAACTTAGGCTAATTTTATTTTAGAAAATAAATTTGGGTTCCGCGCAAAAAAATTAAAACCCTAAATTAAACGCGAGCGAAGTCGCGGGGATCAGCTAGTCTATAATATAAAAATGAATCGCTGAATGTGTTGCTAAGCGCAAATCTCGAGAGCAGCTGAACCGATTTCGCTAATTATTTTTTTATAATATTCCTTGAAGTACGAAGATGGTTCTAATGGAAAGAAAAATTTAAAAAATTGCTTGGAAAAGTCTAAAAACAACACTTTTCTATATTCCGATACAAAAGATTTGTAATAATACTTAAAAGTCAATTTGAACTTTAATACCGTACCATAAAGTTTAAGTGTTAGTGGAGGGGTTCCGGGAAGGCAAAACAATGAAATTGTAGTAAATTTCACGCGGGCGAAGTCGCGGAGCACAGCTAGTTTATATATAAAAATAAAAGTCTGGGTCGATTACAAAATCCGTAGACCAGTCCCAAAAAGCAGCACCTGTTCACAAGTTCGTACTTTTTGACCATTTTAAAGTGAAGTGAACGATCCATGACACAACGCTATCGGAAACAAAAATCTTTAAGCGAGCTCGACAAATCCGAGTCTACCATTTATTAAGACGTTACTTTATACAATAAACAGTGGTAGAGCCAAGCGGTAGCTTTTGCTGTCGCACGGATGGGCCAGCTCGAACCGGGGTGGTACCACGACCTCACAGAATACCAGCGTGAAGTAGAGGTTTACCTCTGCGTTGCGTTTAGTGAGTGCAGGTGGCCGGAGGCCCAATTCCCCCCCCCCCCCCCCCCCCCCATCAACATGGTAGTGGAATTAAATACAAGACTACCCCAGGAGGGTACCAGCAACCCTGGAGAATCCCTCGCTGAGCATCCACGAACAAACTACTTCACTCCTGAGCGTGGGTGCTCAGGCTGCCCCGCGTATTCTGGGGGGGGCAAAATTCCGCTCGTGACTAATGCTGCTCGGGGCAAGCGGAGCAATACAACCAAGGCGACCCCTGTCACGCTATCCGTGAATTTTTGCAACATCAGGGGACTTCATTCCAACCTTAACGCTGTCCATTACCATCTAGAGACGGCGAAGCCGGCCTTGCTCTTTTTAACCGAGACTCAGGTGTCCTCTCCGGCTGATACTTCATATCTCTCCTACCCGGGGTACAAATTGGAACACTCCTTTGTGCCCCGGGCTGGAGTTTGTGTATACGTCAGAGAGGACATCTGTTTTCGACGCCTCGGCAGCCTTGAAGGTACGGACCTGTCCATCCTATGGCTGCGCGTAGACAGCGACGACCATCCCCGCGTCTACGGGTGCCTCTATAGGTCCCATAGCGGTAATGCCGACACAGACCGACTCATCGACCACGTCCAAATGGCTGCAGACTCCGTGCTACAACAGGTCCCATCCGCAGAGATCGTGATACTCGGTGATTTCAACGCCCACCACGCTGAATGGCTTGGTTCTCGTTCAACCGATCATGCGGGTAGATCTGTCTACGACTTTGCTTTGGCATATGGTCTAACACAACTGGTTACTTCGCCTACGCGGATCCCAGATGTGGAAGACCATGTACCTTCCCTGTTGGACCTTCTGCTGACCTCTCATCCGGACGGATATCAGGTCTCCGTCGATGCCCCTCTGGGCTCTTCGGACCATTGTCTGATCCGGAGCACAGTGCCACTCACGCTCCAATCGCAGTTGCGATCTACAGCTTGCCGCCGTGTTTGGCACTATAGGTCAGCTGATTGGGACGGGATGCGGTCTTTTTTTGCATCCTACCCTTGGGGGCGGGTTTGCTTCTCGCCGGAAGATCCCAGCGTTGTTGCCGATTCTGTTGCTGATGTGGTACTTCAGGGTATGGAACTTTTTATTCCATCCTCTGTGGTGCCCATCGGAGGCAGATCCCAGCCATGGTTTGGTCGCTCCTGTAAAATAGCATCACGCTATAAGCAGGAGTGCTACCGGGCCTGGGCTGACGCATCAACGTCTCGGGATTTAAACACCAGCGCACTTAAAAAGAAGTATAATTCCGCCTCCAGGTCCTTCAAAAGCGTCATTGCCAAGGCAAGGTCTGAGCACATCGGCAGAATTGGCGAGAAGCTAGTTCGCCTTCCTTCGGGAACCCGTGCATTCTGGTCTCTCGCCAAGGCTGTCCAAGGGAACTTCTGTCAGCCATCCCTCCCATCTCTGCGCAGAGAGGACGACTCACTGGCCCATGCCGCAAAAGAGAAAGCCGATCTGTTGTGCTCTCTTTTTGCGTCCAACTCGACTCTAGATGACGGGGGGAACACACCGCCGACCATCCCGCGATGTGAGTGCTCCATGCCGGATGTGCGATTTACACAGCGCTCGGTTCGCAAAGCACTCTTCTCCCTGGACGTCAGCAAGTCGAGTGGGCCCGATGGAGTCCCTCCCATTGTGCTGAAGACGTGTGCTCCGGAGTTGGCACCGGTTTTAACGCGTCTTTTCCGGTACTCCTACTCCCAAGGCGTAGTCCCGAATTCATGGAAGACAGCTTTGGTCCACCCGATCCCTAAAAAAGGCGACCGCTCAGACCCGTCCAACTACAGGCCTATCGCCATCACCTCCTTGTTCTCCAAAATAATGGAATCCATTATAAACTGCCAGCTCATGAGGTACCTTGAGGATCACCAGCTGATCAGTGACCGTCAGTACGGTTTTCGTCGGGGTCGATCAGCAGGTGATCTTTTAGTTTACTTAACTCATAGATGGGCGGAGGCAGTAGAGTCCAAGGGGGAGGCATTGGCCGTTAGTTTGGACATAGCGAAGGCCTTCGATCGGGTCTGGCACAAGGCGCTTCTTTCGAAGCTTCCTTCCTATGGGCTTCCCGAGAAATTGTGCAAATGGATCACCAGTTTCCTTGCTGATCGGAGCATCAAGGTCGTAGTAGACGGTGCATGCTCTGATTACAAGCCTATCAACGCTGGTGTTCCACAAGGCTGCGTGCTATCACCAACGCTGTTTCTCCTGCATATCAATGATATGTTGCTAACTGGTAGCATTCATTGCTATGCAGACGACAGCACTGGGGATGCCTTATATACCGGCCGTGCCAATATTTCTCGGGAAAACGTCGCCGAGTACCGGGACAAACTTGTGTCTGAAGTCGAGTCTTTGCTTAACAAAGTCTCGGATTGGGGCCGACTAAATCTAGTCCAGTTCAATCCCCAGAAGACACAAGTTTGCGCGTTTACCGCTAAAAGGAACCCCTTTGTCGTATCTCCTCAGTTTCAAGGCACTCCCCTTGCTGCCTCAGCCAGTATCGGAATCCTTGGCGTCGACATATCGAATAGCGTGCAGTTTCGTGGTCACTTGAAAGGGAATGCCAAATTGGCCTCTAAAAAGCTTGGCGTGCTCAGCAGAGCGAGACAGTATTTCATGCCGGCACATCGCTTGCAACTTTACAAAGCGCAAGTTCGGCCCCACATGGAATACTGTTCTCATCTCTGGGCCGGGGCACCCCAGTGCCAGCTCCTTCCACTTGACCGCATCCAGCGCAGAGCGATTCGAATCGTCGACGACCGAGTTCTTTCCGATCGGCTCGATACACTGGCACTGCGTAGAGATGTTGCATCTCTTTGCGTATTTTATCGCATCTATCACGGGGAGTGCTCTGAGGAATTGTTCGGACTAATTCCAGCCGCTCAATTTCACCATCGCACGTCGCGACAAAACTCGCGTTACCATCCATACCATCTGGATGATTGGCGGTCCACCACTGTGCGATTTAGAAGAAGTTTTCTCCCTCGCACAACTTCTTTGTGGAATCAATTACCACCAGCGAATTTTCCGAACCGATACGACTTAGGAACCTTCAAGAAAAGAGCTTACACCTTTCTAAAAGGCCGGCAACGCATCTGCAATTCCCCTGGTGTTGCGGTTGTTCATGGGCGGCGGTAGTCACTTAACATCAGGTGAGCCGCATGCTCGTTTGCCCCCAATTCTATAAAAAAAAAAAAAAAAAAATACAATAAACACTGATAAATATAGCAGATTATAAGTCTAATTCTGTGTGTTATGAAAACTACACACATCAACCATGTAGTGGCGGTGTAAGAATATCCACTACCCCATATCATCCCGTGGGTATCGTATAAGGTGACACAGGGAAACAAATCAGGAGATTTTTTTATAGGATAGGGTGACAAACGAGCACACAGTCCACCTGATGGTAAGTGGTTGCTGTGGCCCATAGACATCTACATTTATCCTCGTTTGCGAATCAAAATGCAGATGCATTGTCACCTGAGAGGACTAAGATGGAATGCCTCTTTTCCAGTAAAAAGGATCTCCGGTTCTCTACCCTCACCATACGAAACACAGCAATATCAAGCTGCTACTTTACGCTGGTATTCTGTGAGAGCGTGGTCCTTCCCCGATCGAGCCGACCCATTCGTGCTACAACTATACTACTAATAAAGCTGCATCATGGCTCTACCACGTATAAAAAGTATGGCAGCAGCGCTTTCTTAATAACGACTAAAAAAAACTGCGTTTGTCAAACTGCTTACCAAGCGAAACAACTATAGCAAATATCTTTCCTACGAGGTAATCTATGGGGAGGCCTATGTTCAGCAGTGGATTTTAATAGGTTCTAACGGTAACAATAACACACAACAATTGTATTTAAATACCATGAAAAATAAAAAAACATGCAGCATAGTTACATAAGCCCGAAACATAAACAAAAAATACAACATATGACAAAGGCCGTGGAGAGCTTACAGAAAAAGTCCGTTAGCTCAAAAAGGGCACTTAGCTTTTAAAATTGCATACTCGCCTCAATGGCTCTTCACGTTGGCTGTATTTCTGAATTCCCTTTGCATCGCTTGTTAGCTTTTAAATCCGCACTACTTAATTTTAACATAAAAAAAGATTTGTTTGTCTAGCAGTCCATTTTTCTGTTTGAATATGTGAGTCCATCTCGTTATGTATCTCACTTGGAAATTTTAATTTTTCATATACGGTCGGTGCTAGAATACATTGGTGCTTCGTTAGCCTCCAACGCAAATGGAAAGGCGTTGTTAGACCTCGCGCGATCCTCTGTATAAATACGAGATAATTTATCTTATTCCTGTTCCGTAGCTCCTTAATATTGATGAACATCGACATCGTAGTATATCGTAAATTAATCACTGCTTATGTTAGTTCATAAATAACTCTCTCAACTTCTTACCACGAATCTATATATTGATACATGAATATTAATTTGTACCATATTGTAGATGTGTGAGATTTGGCATAGTTAAAATTTATATGGAGAAGGGAGGCAGAACGCTAAAATTTATTAATAATATGTGTTACAAATACATTATATAAAATAAAAGAAAACATTGATTGTTTAAGTTAATAGTGTTAATGTCTGTCTCCGACACAGACAATTGCACAGAGTAAAATTTGTAGATAAAGAACTTTAAAACGTTGCCAAAAAATAATTAATGCTTAATTTTATGTGATTTCAATTTTTTTTTCAATAGCCTGAGCAGTGTGCAGTATATGTTAAGGCAAAAAAATAGTTTATTTTATATTTTAAACATATGATATTAGTATTTCAATATGCAGTTGAAATGAAACAGCTTGCTTAATACACAAACATAAAAAAAAATTAAATCAAGATCGATTTTAGACCACTAGACGACCGATAGTATAACTAATTATAAGTAGCGTTAAGGTTACAGATGATGAGAGTAGTCGGATTTATTGTCCACAAGTCTCTCGTTAACAACGTAGTGAAGATTGTGAGTGTGTCGACGTGGATTGCGTACCTTATACTCAGAACCACCAAACGGTATTTGTTGAAGGTCATACAGGTTTACGCACCAACCTCGAAAGATCCCGATGAGGAGGTAGAGGAAATGTATGAGGATAATTCTAAAGCCATCCATTCCTCTATAAGCCACTATACGGTATTAATCTTATTTTTACTGAAAAACATTACCTCCACACTAGGACTATCTCCTGTATCGTTCGGGCAGTTAACATACATAAATTTCACGAGGACAAACATCCAGACCCGAAACAAATATTTGTAGGCCATACAAATACTTGTTCCGTGCGAGATTCGAACCCGCGGCTCTTGGTACTGCAACTTAGTGCTAAGCCACTGTGCCATGGAGCCTTCAATTAATGCGTCATTAATGGGAGACTTCAACGGAATACTAGGCACGTGGGAGAACGGTTAGCTGAAGGTAGGAAAATTGGGAATAGGGCAACGGAACCCTAGAGGCCATGAGGTGGCCAATTCATGGAGAAAGACGAACTCTTTATGATCCACTCCTTCTTCCAGAAGCAGCCCCACATTAAAGTGGACCTGGTCGAGCCCCTACGGTTCGACAAAAAATGAGACACTATGGTGACTAGAAGGTTCAGTGATGTTCAATGATGTCTCAGTGATCGCAAGGGTGAAAACTTATTGCGATCACCGAATAGTTAGAGGCACGCTGAACCTAAAAGTTAAGTTGGAGAGGTCTTGTCTAATGCAGTCAACGTTCCATACCCCTCGTGCTCTAATCCAGAGTCCCGAAACTTTTCAGCTCGAGTTACTAAACCGTTTTCAGTACCTAGATGATTGCAATTCAGTGGATGATATGATTTTTCCGACACTAATCCGATGATATCCCAGATGTCAGTCTGAGCGAGATTAGACTAGCCCTCCAGCAAGGATGGATTTGCAGCGGAGCTTCTGAAAGCGGGTGGAAAACCGGTACTTCAGAAGCTCTTTAATTTCGTCCTCTCTGGTGTCACTACTCTGAAGGCGTGAAGCAGAAGTGCGGTGGTCTTGTTCTTCAAGAAGGGCGACAATGCCCTCTTGAAGAACTACAGACCAATTTCCCATCTAAGCCGCGTCTACGTGCTGTTTCCGAGAGTCATTACGAATCGTCTTGCACGCAGACTTGACGACTTCGAGCCTCCAGAAAAAGTCAGTTCGCGAAAGAGCTATAACACAATAGACTGTGGTCTATCGTAGGCTTTCTCATAGTCCATATACGCAAGACAAAGTGGCATATTGTACTCTTCGGCCTTCTGTGAATATGTGTATTGTACAGAAGACCGAAGAGTACAATCTGATACTTTGTCTTGCGTATATGGACTATGAGAAAGCCTTCGATTCCGTCGAAATTTGGGCAGTGCTACAGCTCTTTGAACGGTGTCGAGTTGACTGTCGGTATATCGACGGTCTGAAGTGTTTATATAGTAGGGTTACGATGGCTATCCGAGTACAGAACCAGAGTACGAAACCTATCCAAATGCAGAGAGTTGTAAGAAAGGGTGACGTTATATCCCCGAAACTCTTCACCGCTGCATTGCATAGTGATGACCTATGGATCTGAGACGTGGTCCTTCACTACTGGCCATATGAGGAAGCTCAAGGTTGCTAAGCGAGCTATGAACAGGGCTATACTTGGGGTTTTTCTGCGTGATAGACTTAAAAACGAGGATATCCGCAGTAGAACTAGAGTGACCGATATAGCCCAACTGATTAGTAAGCTGAAGTGGCAATGAGCCGGCCATATAGCCCGAAGAACGGACAACCGTTGGGTAAGAAAGGTTCTCGACTGGCAGCCTCTTACCACCAGGCTATGTGTAGGGCATTACCCCACTAGATGGAGTGACGACCTGCTAAGACATGCAGGAAATCAATGAATGTATGTGGCTCGGGACCGTACTTTGTGGCATTCCTTGGGGGAGGTCTATTATCGGCAGTGGATTTGTGATGGGCTGTAATAATGAGGATGATGAACCCTGACATAGATCTGAATGTCTGTAAGTGACTGTAGCTCAATGGTTAATGATGCGGAATGCAAGCTCGGAAAGTCATGTCGTCCCGCCATAAATATCACAGAACTGTCAACCACCCGGGATCATTGCAATTTTAACTGCTTACTACCAAGTACTATACGTACTGTATACGTACGTAGAGAGCCGTGGTAACTCAGGGGCTAAACGCTCGCTGTAAACTTCACAGTACCCGAGGAACCCTGTTTGACAATTCCACACAGTGGACACTTCTTTGCCGGCTGAGCCCGAAGTAAAAAAGTACTCTGTCGCCCGGAGTGAGACAAAGTGTATTTAGTAAAATAAATTATTACATGGCTACTCAAAAAACACCGAAACTTTCGGGATTTATAAGCCGAAAAAAATTAATTATAACTAACAAAACAAAATTAAACCGCCGTTTACATTCCATGGCTTCCCACATGATTGATCAGAGATTATCGAAATTATTTATTTTCCCGCCCCCTTTGAAAATCTATTATTTTTCAGCGCCCCCAATTTTTTATACGCTACTAAAACTTTAAAAACCACAATTTCATTACTTTAATTGATTTAGTTATGGTGTGATATATATGTCAGTTCTTAACTTTTTCAGTGTTTTAAATATGGTTTCTCCTTTTGTTTAAATTTATAGCAAATAATAAATCTTGACATATTTTTTCCTCTTTATTAAACCTCACGTATGACAGCAATAATGCTTCATTAGTTGGTAAAGTGGACTCATCCAACTGAATTGAAAATTGACTAGACTTCAGATGATTGCACAATGACTCTTCAATGTTTTCAGCCATTCATTGCCATTTCATCAATTCGTCTTTGCACAGAACTATTGCTCAAAGGAATTTTTCGAATTATGTCAGCCGCCAGTTTATGGAGCGCAGTAGTTATAACTTCTTTTATTGCCAGCAAAATTAACGTTTCTCCGATGGTGTGGTTTACCTGCTTGAGCAATTAACAAAGAGATATTGTATGAAGCTCAAAATGAATGAGCTCGAATGAGCAATTAACAAAGAGATATTGGTTGAAGTCTTGCTTAGCAGCCACCGAAAAAGTTTTATACACTTGGCTGACTATTATGCTTCTTTTACAGGTCTTGAAAATAGGATAGATGAAAAGTTTAAAAA